TTTTCCACCCAGATGGAATATTATTGGCATGAGAGCACTATGCCTCATGGTGTCTTGCACTCAACGTTTTGGCTAAAAGCAATTGCATGCTAAAGGATTATGAAAGTTGACTCAGCATCAACAGGTATTGATCCTGATGGTAATAAAAGATTTAAAAGGTTAGCATGAGAAGAATTAGAGGTTTTTTATAATTATTGTGCTGATAAAAGATCTAGTAAATGTTTGAATGTTTAAATATCTGAAAATTAAATTAGACACAAAACCAGATCTCTTTTAGGCAGGGATACACAATGTTGCTATTACCGTTTAGCCATTTCCAACTAAAACAGAATAAAACTTTTTTTTTCATGAAGCTCAGCACTGCAACTTTTTGATTGTTTTTATGATAGTATCTCTAATTAAAACCCCACCTTATTTTCAAGTTCAAATTCATTTTTATTTAACTACAGTACAATGAACATTTATTCTGAATAAATCAATTCTTTTTAAAGTGTTCAAAAGGCAGTTGTTTTTCAACAAGCCAGTTTTTAAGCATCAGAAACTTCATGAGACATTTGACCAGATGTTTGATCACACTTGCCTGGATTCCCTATATTGCCATATTACTACTAAACATAGTAATTCCTCTAAGAAGACAGGGATCAAACTGATCCATGAGTTTTCTGTTTTGACATAATTTGTGTGTGCGCCATTTGTAATGAATAATTTTTTGTCCAGATGGCTCGTAGTTTTTATTATTTACTTACAATAACATATTCTTTCATATTTTACAGTTTCTACTGAGTTTTGATCATAGTTCTTGCAAACAACTGCTAGAATTCTTTGTTTTAAGAGACATTTGCCCTGGCATACAAGAAAAAAAATCTTAGAACTCTGTATGATGGATATAACAGATACCGGTGAAGATGGATTGGCAAATATGAAGTATTGGGCTTCCCATCCCCCATCAACGCACAATGGCTCTATTTTTATCAGTAGAGGATAAGTCTGATACTGTCTTTGATTTACAGACTGAAATGTAATTAGAACCATTTTTTGCCACTGGAGGGAGACCACATTGCTCAAGAAAGCAATAGGAAGAGAAGTCCAGAACAAAGCCAAAAAAGAAAAAAAAATTGTGCTATATATTTATTCTAATCAAGAAAGCAATAGGAAGAGAAGTCCAGAACAAAGCCAAAAAAGAAAAAAAAATTGTGCTATATATTTATTCTAATCAAGAAAGCAATAGGAAGAGAAGTCCAGAACAAAGCCAAAAAAGAAAAAAAAATTGTGCTATATATTTATTCTAAAAAGCTTTGTAGGCTAGACAACATTGTCGTTATGCACAAAGTGTTTTAGCAGCCAAATTTGAAGTAATCTTTTGCTTTTTACAGAAAAAAAAAGTACTAGCGATACAAAATAAGCATTTTCAGGTCCTGGCAATTTTCAGCAGATCTGATTATACTTGTATTGAAATGGCTCGGTTTGGGAGAGGAACCAATCAACCTTGACTTTACTGATGATGGATGGGGGCAGGATTTTGTTTGCTGCACATCTAAATCTAAATGGGGGACAAATAAGTTGCAAGGGAGTAACTGAACAACAAAAATAGCAAATGGAATTCCATTTTGTAGTGCTTATAAATGTAGGTCAGCAACCGCAGTGCCTGTCTCCTAGCTGGCAGCCCAAAAGGAGCAGTGGAAAATTATCTTACTGATACTTTCTGAAAGGATTTTGATTTTGACGTAACTCAAAAGTCTGATGCAAACTGAACAGGGCACAACTATGTGACATCATTGCTGCTCTATGTTACAATCTAATTACCAGGCTTGAATGTGATTTTAGTGTCCACAGATTAAATAATATACATTGCTGTTGCCTGATGAAAGTGGTTTGTTTTGCTGTATTATAAGGAAACGTGCCAATTGAAATTTGCTTCCACTCTAAGGTTTTATAAAAGATCATGTTCAAGAACTTAAAATGGAATGGTTAATTTTAATTATTGCTATTGTTACATTTAAAAATGCCAAATATTGTGGTTGTGTTATAGTTGTGTGTGATTCATTACTTAGACTTGATAGAAAAGGAAACTACTAGGCTATCCCAGTCTTCTAAAAAAATCTCTTAAGTTCATAGTACTTATTCATATTGAATCAAATTTGGTTGAATGTTTCTAACTGAAATGAAGGACAAAAGCAACTTCTCTTAGCTTGTTCCAAATTAATGAACATCTGTTAAAACTGATTGAGTACATTTTCACTCACTGCTTTCTCCAATACTGGAAAGCCATTATTCTCTCTTCCCAGCTTTTGGGGCCATCGGTGTTGCCACCCAGCTGGGTTGTTATTTGTTGGGAGTGGGCTATAAAAACTGTAAATTAACAGTCAAGACTCTAGATGGGTTACAACAGAGTAAAAATATTAATCAATACAAAGCAGCATGTGACTCCCCAATGGATACCATTAGCACTCAACTTGGGTTAAAAAAGCTCGGTGGAAGAGGGCTGTTTGGGATGCTTTTTGAAATGGTTGCATAGACCTCTAGGGAAGAGAGTTTCAGAGTGTAGGGGCCGCATCAGAAATGTCTGCCACCTCGTCCCTGCCCCTGTGACCTCTGATGGATGGGGGGAACTTTTAGCAAGCCTTCGTAACATGTCCCTTCCAGATGGGCAGATTCATTGCTGACAAGGCAGCATAGTATTGCAGTGCTAGCCTGTACAGTGTAATGATTTAGAGGTGATGGCCTGCACTTTGAATGGGGCCCAAAAGCCTGCAGGTAAGCCATGCAAGTATTTTAGCACTGCAATTGGAATCTTGCAGTAGTGTAAACTGACTCACAGGACTCCTGCCACCGCATTCTGGACCAGCTGCAGCTTCTGGATCATCTGCAAAGGCTGTCCCATATAATGTGCTCTATTACGCTAATCAAACCAGATGATGCTGAAGAGGTGGCTTGCCATCTCTAAAGTCTCCTGGCCCAGGTGGGGTTGAAACTAGCAAGCAAGATTAAGCTGGGCAAAAGCTCCCGGGCCACAGCCTCTACCTGTTGTTTGAGCAATAGTCATGAGTCCAAAAGGACTCCCAACTCTTGAATCAGTTCATTTGGGATGGACAGAACCCCATCCAGAGTGACTATCAATATTCATGGGTACTTACTGACATATAGCAACTCAACCCTGGATGGATTGAATCTGAGTTTATTTTGCCCCATTCAGACCCTGACAGCCTCCATTTGTTCAAACTTTTCATTGCATTTCAGCTTGACTTGGTAATGTGGTAATGTACAGCTGAGTATTATCAGCCTAATGATAGCACCTCATTTCAAATCAGCAGAAGACCTCACCTATCAACTTTATGTAGAAGATAGGGAGAGCAGCAAGCACTTTGGAGCAGCCACAGCCTCTAATACCTCATGGTAACAGACTGGAACCACTCAATCAGGTAAGAGCAGAATCACTAAATCAGTGCCTCCAAACTCTACAGGCATCCTAGCAGCATTCCATGACTGATATTATCAAAAGCTACTGACAGATCTAAAAGGACCAGGAGGTGAGTAGTTTCCTCCATCGTGGTCCCGACAAAGGTAGTCTGTCAAGGCAACTAATAATTATTCCATCCCATAACCAGGTCCAAATTCAGACCATCTGTTTCATCTAGGATTCTATGAAGCTGAGTCACTCTAGATTTTTTCCCTAAGCTTTTATGTGTTTTCATAAAACCAAAATGTTGCTTGTTTTTTTTTTTTAATTTCCTGATACATTTTTGGAGAGGCTTAACAAAACAAGAATGTGTATATATTCCACGTTAATAAAGCAAAGTTTTGTTGATTCTTTAATCTTACAATCCTTTTACAGTTTTCCTGATCAAATCTATACTGACCATGACTTAATCTTCAGTTAGACCAGATACAGGTTTTTTCACATAGAGCTATTCCTACTCTGCTTAGTTTCTAGTTTATACATGTGATTATCTAGCCAGGGGATGGGAAGGCAGCTATTGGCTTAACTGACAGTATTGGAAAGAAGATCTTCCAATAGGAGAGTACTTTTTCCTATCTCTAATGCTGAACTAATACTTAGTTAAGACCATCATCAATGTATCTGCAGGGAATCTAGCTGGTCTTAAATTTTAGATGAAACCATAATAGCATTTTGAACAGCTCATGTTCCTAGTAACAAAGACTTCTTTGCTATTGTTCATTCATGACTGGATGGATAGCATTTCTCCAGGATTGTTTGTCAGTAATAATTTTGTTGAGTTTTGTAAAGTTATACTTGTGCCAACAGTGATATTATCTAACTATCTTGTCATCTTTGATCTTTTCCTTCTCAATTGTCTCTGATTTTTCCAAACAGCAGGGTCTTCTCCACTGACTGTTGCCTTTGAGTTATATGTCCAAAATATCTAAGCTTTAGTTTCATTATTAGTGCTTCTATGAGCAGTATGGTTTTACTTCATCTAGCACTGAATAATTTGTTCTTCTTTACGGTGCAGAGTATTCTCAACCATTTTCTCCAGCATCACAAATCAAAGGCATTGATTTTCTTCATTCACTTTTCAGCATTCACAGCCATATGTTACAACTTGAAAAGCTGTAGCCTACAGCCTATTTGTCTGTGTGATGTCACTGCACATTAATGTCTTGTCTAGATCTGTCAGTCTTTCTCCCAAATAGCAGATATATTTTTATTTCATGGCTACGTTCACAATCCCTATGAATTATTTAGTCAGGAAGATAAAATTTTCTGCTACTTCAGGTTCTTTTCTCCCTATTTGTACTCACTTGGCACTGCCTGTTGGCATAATCTGAGGTTTGTTTTTTTAAAAAAAATACTGAGCAGCAACCAGCTTTTGACCTCTCTTCTTTTTATCTTTAAGAAGACTTCCTCAGTTCTTTCTCTCTTCCAGTCATCAAAGTGGTACCCTTAGCACGTTTATTTATTTGATTTATATCCTGCTTTTTGTATAGGGACTCATGGTGGCATATATACCGCCCCCTCCTCTTTTTTCCCAAACAACAACCCTGTGAGGTAGATTGGGATAAGAGACAATGACTGGCCCAAAGTCAGCTGGAGAGCTTCCATGGCTGAGGGTAGACTGGAACCTAAGGTTCGTTCTCATTTTGTCATATTGTGGAGGTTAGAACTCATATAAATGCAATTGTCTAAATATTGTTTTGCACTGCCCCCCCCCTCTTTTTGTTTGGAATACAAATTGACCTTTTCCAGTCCCTTGGCCACTGCTATCTTCTGTAACTGCTTCCAACCTGCAAGTAGCATTTTAACAACATCATCTCAAACAGTTCTATTGAAACTTCATCAACTCCTGCAGCTTTCATGTTAGCAATATTTTCTAGGGCCCATTTAACATTAAATATCCAGAATATCCAGTGACCAAACCTTTGCTCATATCTTTGGTGTTGGGGTCTTTTTTGTTCAGTTCTTCTGTATATTTATGCCATAGTCATTCAACTTAAGTGCAAGATTTTTCCTTTTTCCAATCTGCCAGATATGGTAGAAGAAGATAAGTTTTAGGTTATTTCTGTTCATGGGGTGCCATTCAGCTTCTCCATTATTTAACAGCCTCCTTGAGACAAAATACAAAAGTTCCTTGTTTGATTTTTTGCATAATATGTTACAAGGCAGTTTCATTTTAGTGAAAAACATTTACCATCACTGCCTTGTTGTTTTATTCTGATTAACTAAGTTCATGTCTGTGGTTTATGGCAATCTTAGTTCCAACACAATTTACCAGGTTGCTAAGTTCCCAAATTTCCCCTACAAGGATGGCCACAGATCAAAATTCTGAATGCTGTAGTCCCAGTGAATCAGAAGGGCAGTGGGTTGGATTAAATAGATCTATAGGAAGAGGGAGAATTGAGAATTGACCAATGCTAATTTTGCATAGCAATGATTATTTCAAGGTTGGTTACAGACTGATCATGAGGTTTTGTTTGTTTCTGTGTTTATAATAACAAAATCTTGTAATGTTTTCTTGATAATCTATAGGTATTTTAGGATGCTTACAGAAAATAAGACAGTCATATGCTGGGATAACACATACAGTGGTACCTCGGGATACGAACTTAATCCGTTCCGTGACTCTGGGCGTATCCCGAGTTGGTCGTAAC